ACTGCCTTATATTTTCGGACGGAGGAAGTACCTATCGCACTTTTTATATATTACTTACACCTCGATCTCCGTAACCTCGATCTCCATAGTTTTTCCCCTTTTTGGACAATGCCATGACCGCTGTTGTAAGCAACTCTGACGTTTAAATAGCGTTCACAGCTGATTTGAACCACCTAAAGACAGTAATATCCCGTGGTTAACATATGTACGTTGACTCCATTGATAGATTCAGTAGCAAACCTCATATCGTAGACAGCACCAACCGACTCTATTACAACATCACGTCGAATTTTTATTAAATGCTGTTTCAATCGCGTACCGAGATCAAGGTGTGTCAACGTGTTGTCCACCCCAAAAACAACAGGGAAATGGGCTTTGAGCTTTGCTGGATCAGAGGGAAATATTGTCAGCCAGAGACGAAAACCTTCCCTGTTTCTGAAACCCTTAGGTACACCAGTTATTATTATTAGAATTCTCAGTCTTGTAATTCTTGCGGATGCGCTTGCCCGGCGAAATAATGTAACAGCAGCGCCATCTCCAGAGTCGCGGTTCACCATATCCAAAACGCGTTGCGCCACTCTTAGCGTCAGAACAGGGTGGCAGTGAGCAAATACTCATACCAACCCTCCGCATGCAACTGTAATACGGAGCCGTTATTGGACTTTTTAATACGTCCAAGAACCCTAACAGGAAACCAGTACCCTGCCTACCGTCAATGCACACCACCTAACCTCTTTCCTTCTTCGGAAAGATTGTTGGGTCAAGCTCATGGCGCCTCTCCAGGACTACCTACGTTGTCTGCAGCTCTTTCGACTTTGTAGATCGTGTGGAAACGTATAGGTGATGTTGAAGCCACAGCCGTAACTTTTCCAAGCTATATTCAGAGTCTCTCCAACGTCTTCCTTTCTTAAATCACCCGCGTCTTGCCAGTATATTCGCACGATTTGGTCTCTCAAGCTCAACGATGATTACTGAATGACAAACCTGATATGTTCCTATGTCTAAATTGATTCAGTTCACTTGACCAATGATAAATAGATATGAAATGCAGTGATATTTTGATTGGTCGGTGCTATGAATAACCTCCAAATTTATTTTGAAAACCATTTAGTATCATTTTTTAAGATATATATTGTATTTGGTGCTGTAGATAACTAGAGAGTCTGGGGCATGCGGCAAACGAAATACACCAATTGA